CGAGCCTGAGCTCAGCTCCCCTGAGCTGCCCCTGCTGCCACGGGGCTGTCTGGGGGTTGCCCTGCCATGGGCACCTGTGAGCTCAGAGGTTATGGGATTTTCCACGGGAAACCTGCCTGGGACCTCGAGGGAAGTCCACGGCCCCTTCCCAAACCAAACCGACCTTGCCTCTGCTGCCGGCCCTACCCGTTACCCTCTCACCCCTCCTGTCCCAGGTGCAGGGGGATGGAGGAGAAAGGTTTGGCTTTTGAGGCTCAGGCCCTCGCTGGGTGCCAGCACGAGGTCGTGGCACATCCCCAGCAGCTTCCCACCCGCCGGGCTCCTCTGCCTGGGCAGCCCCCGGCCGCGGCAGCGCAGCCCAGAGCCTGGGCTGGGCAGGCACGGGTATTGCCCAAGCAGATCCCGTGGATGAGGGTGAGGTCAACGGGAGCTTTGCTTGTGAAAGGACCGGGTAATCGGGGCCTGTCGTGACAGCACCAGCTCCCGACGCGCTCCTCTGGCCGCCGGGCGAGGCTGCGGCCCCTGGCAGGGCACTGAGCGAATTTAGGGTTAGGGGCAGGGGCTGCAGGGGGGCTCAGGGGGACGCCCCTGGCTGCCAGGCACAGCCCTGCCCACGTTTATATGCACTCCTTGCGGTGTCCGTGTCCTGCCACCGCTTCCCTTGGCTTTATTTTTGCTTCTTTTTCGGTTTTACTTCCTGCAGGAAAGTCGGAGCTCAAAAGTTCTGCTGAAGGGTTTGGTAAAAAACACCCCATTTACAGGCTGGGGTGAAACGAGGTGTCTGAGCGCATCAGCAACCCAAGCCCAGCATCCCAGCCGCTGGGACCGATGGCCCCGTGTGGTTTTCAGGATGCTGCGTGAGCATTTCCCTGCCAGGAGCCCCCATGAAGAGGGCAAAAGAGAAAACGACCCAGCCTGGGAAATGCTGGGGACTCGCAGGAGGCTGGCGGTGCCCGTGCTGGGTTCGAGGGTCCAAAACACCCCAAGGGGAAGGCCCCAAAGAGCCCCAGCAGCTCCCAGTGCTCCCAGTCCCCAGGCACGGCCCCGCCGGTGCCAGGAGCAGCCGCTCGCGCTGGGGGGGGGCTGCGAAACCTCACTGCCAAGAGCAGATAAAACCCCCAGAGCTTCCCCACGAAGCCAAATAAACTTGCTGATAGCTCGCCGTGCTCTCCGCGCTCCGTCATTAGTATGCGTTTCGCTGCCTTTCCAGCTCTGAAATCCTTGTTTAGATAAACTTGAAAGCTGAAGGAAATTTGGCAGGCAGGGTCCTGCCCTGCGCGGAGGGCAGATAGTGTCACCTGAAATGTAAACAGGCGCTATTGACTGGGGCCGGGACCGGCTTGTCAACGATAAAGCCACCTCGCGGGGTGGCTGCCTTCACACAATGAGCGCCGCTTTCATGTTTGGCGAGTTAATCTATTAAACGGCGGCCAGGAAATGAGATGGGAACAGAAGCCACTCGGTTACCGGTGTGTGTGTGTGTGTGTGTGCAGGTTTCTCCTCTTTCCCCCCCCAAACCCTTGCTGCCTCCCCTGCATCCTAATGGCAAATCTGATGAAGCCGTCCCGGCCCCTTCCAGGATTAACGGGTACCCGGGGAGGTACGAGGGGAAGGTTAAAAAGATATGGAAGGAAAGCTCCACGTCTTGGTTCAGGGCCCGTGTGCCGCAGGGAGGCACCCTGAGCCCAGCAGTGAGCAGCCAGGGGTCGGATTTTGGGGCAGGGCGAGCAGCGGGCACAGCGGGGACCCAAAGGGGACAGGGCCCAGTGGCTCCTTCCCCGCAGATGCCGATTGCGCAGGGGAAGCGTGGCTCGGTTTCCCCGAAAGGGCGGCTCTGCGGTGGGTCTGCTCGGTGTCACAACACCCCCAGCTCGGGAGCCGTGCCCGGGGTTTTCTCCCTGAGCGGGGTGGGTGAGGGCGTCCCCGTTTCCCTTCCCCATTTCCCTTCCCGTGGCTGTGAGACCTCGCGGGGTGCCGTGGCCTCAAGCACGCAGCGCGGCTCGGCCAAGCCACGTGTGGGACCTTCGGGGGGACCTTGCATCACCCCAGAGACCCCAAAACCGCCTGTGGCCGGAGTGCTCGGCCCTACAACCCTTGGGGCATGTGGAGGACAAGGGGCAGGAGCGGGCTGGGGCTCCCCTGCTGCACCCACACCCGGTGACCCCACACCCCGAGCACGGTGCCCGTCGGGCTGGGGGGGGGAGGCAGCCGCTCCTCCTGCCGAGGCCTTCCTCTGAGATCGTTACGAAAAAAATCTCAGGGAAAAAAAAAAAAAAAAAACTTCTGGGAAAAGATCATGGTTTCTAATTGGGATGTGCAAATATCAATTTAAGCAGATTTTAAATCAATATGAACCAGAACATTTCCTTTCACCCCTAATTGTTCTTTCCTTTTTTTTTTTTTTTTTTTTTTTCTCTTTTTCAACCAGGTGAGCTTTAATAACCTAAAATAAAACATCTGCTATTTCAGTGCAGCCCTAGCGTGAGGAATATCAATTAACGAGAGGCATTCTTGGTCGTCTGAGTTCACCACAACAGCGCTGGCTGGATGGAAATGTGAAGAAAATTACAACCTTTTCGGGGAAACCATTAAATAAAAATCAGAATTTGTCCATAAATACCGCTGGGGGAGGGAAGCAGCTCCTCTAATGCCTTCTATTTTCAGCAGCGGAACCCAATTTCCAGCGTCCCTTCCCTGTCCCCTTTTCCCACCCCATTGGGGCCCAGGAAGCACCAGGGGCTGTGGGGCCGGCCCCGTCCCAGCGGTGTGGGGTGGTTGGGGGTCACGGTGCCGGGATGGGGACCCTGTGGGTGCCCAGCACCCATGGGAGATCGGCTGTGGATGCTTTTTCCCCCCATGGGGGGCATTTCTCAGGGGCTTTGCGCATCTTTGGGGGCTGGAGGCAGGACAGCAAGAGCCAGGCTCCATCGGGGGGCTTCTGGGGGGCTTCTGGGGGCTGCTGGGGGGCTGGGGTCTTTGCTCCTTGGGGTGCTGGCGGCCTCGGGAGCCCCGGCTGGGGGGCTCCAAGCACGGCGGGCAGGGGGTGCCCCAGGGTGGGTGGTGGGTGCTGGGGGGCGAGCTCTGGCACACTGAGTACCTGGCAGCCAGCGCCAGCTCCCCGCCGTGAAAAAATAAAAATGAGAATTAAAAATGAGATAAAAAGGTAAAAAGAAAAAAAGAAAGAAAAAATAAAATAAAACTTTAAAAAATGAGAAAAAATACAATTAGGATAAAATAAAATTGAAAAAAGAAATAAAAATAAGATAAAAATAAGATAAAAATTAAAAAATAAGAACTTAAAAAACTAATATAACTAGAATAAAATAAAAATTAAAAAAGAAATAAAAATAAAATAAAAATTTAAAAATAAGAAATTAAAATAAATAATAAAATGAGAACAAAATAAATTTTAAAAAAATAAAAAATAAAATAAAAAAATAAAAATAAGGAACAAAAATAAAATAAAGCATTAAAATTAGAATAAAATAAAATTTAAAAAAATAAATAAATTACAAAAAAAATAAAAGGGGGGGATTATAAAAGCAGCAGGAAGGCGGAAGGCGGGGGGGGGAGGCGAGGAGCCGCTGCCATCCGCACAGGGGGGGTTGGGGGGGGGGGGGGGGAGCAGTGCGGCGGCTCCGGCTCCGCTTTGCAAATCCGGTCCGGGTTTTGCGGCGCGCCCCCTGGCCCCACGTGGGGCACGGCGGCCCCGGGCGCGGCGGCCAATGGGAAGGGGGCGCGCGGGCAGCGCCCGGCCCCGCCACGGGGCGCGCGGCAACCGGCGGGGGGGGGGGCGGGGGGCGGCCCCCGGCCCCATCGGGACCCCCCCGGGGACCCCCCCTGGGACCCCCCGGGACCCTCCCTGGGGTGCACCGCCAGGGGGTCCCCGGCCCCCCGGTACCGATCCGGGGAGGTGGGGGGGGAGCAGAGGAGGCGCTGGGCTGGGGCTGGGGGGGGATTTTTCTTCTTTTTCACCCCTATTTTTTTATTTTTTCTTATTTAAATCGCTGCGTTTCATTACGAGGGAGCGCCAAATAATAATAATAAAAAAAAAAAAAGTAAAAAAAAAAAAGTAAAAAAAAAAAGTCAAAAAAAAAAGTCAAAAAAAAAAGTCAAAAAAAAAATTAAAAAAAAAAAAAAAAAATAATATAAAATATTCCTTTGATACACAAAATCAAATTGATATTTAGCCTCTGCTTACTTTTTTATGCATGGCTCCCTTCGCCGCGCGGTAGTGACAGATTGTTTGAGCTGGGAGGAAAAGCCATTCAGAGCTAATTAAGCAGCCATTCCGGGCACTATTTGCAAGCGGGAGGCTGCAAAGCAGAGGCATTTGTCAGCGCTCCGCCCCACGTGGCTTTGATTGACAGCTCCGCCGCCCGAGTGGCAGCCGCGCCGCCGCCGTCCAATGGGGTGGCGGGAGGAGACAGCACCGTGCTCTGATTGGTCGGAGGGGGGTTTGAGTGACAGCTGCCCCACGTGGGGCGGGGAGGCTCCGGGTGACGCGCGGCGCGGGAGCCATTTTGTGCCGCCGGGATGGGGCTGCGGGGCTCGGCTGGGAATGGGGCCGGGATGGGGACGGGACCGGGGCTCCCCCGAGGCACTACGGGGCTGGGACCGGCGGTGGAGCCCGGTAGCTCCCTGAGAAGGGGTTCAGCGGGGCTTGCAGCCGCTCCCGGGGCTCCTTTTCCCTTTGTGCCAACCATTTTCCCCGCGTTCAACCTCAAACAGCGTGAAAAAATTTTAAAATCGGGCAAAAAAACAAAAAAAAACACCCCAAACCGGCAGCCCCGCAGCCTCCCGCTCGGGGCCGTCCCGGTGCCGCCCGGTGGCGGGGCCGCCCCTCCCGCGCTGCCCATTGTGACGTCCCTTACGGCGGCGTCCAATCAGCGGCCTCCCCCTCCGCCCCCACGTGGGTTCCCCGCGCTGCCATTGGCTGCCTGAGCCTCCGAGGCCGCCCGGGCTGCTGGCCCCGCCCAGCGGCGGGCGCGCTCCGGTGGCGGCGGCGCGGGCCGCGTGCTCCGGGGCTGCCCCAGTCCGCGCGCGGCGGCGGCACCGAGCGGCGGGAGCCGGCCCCGGGGAGCGCCCCCCAGACACCGCGACCCCGCCGCGACCCCGACCCCCCGGATCTCTTCTTCTTCCCCTCGGCCCCCCCAAGCCCAGCATGGCCCGAGGAGCCCCGGCGCCGCCGCCTGCCGCCGTTCCGGAGCTGAACCGAGAGCCGGGAGGAGCGGAGCGGAGCGGCCGGTGCCGTCGCTCGGATGTGTACGGCCTTCTCCCCCTCCTCCTCCTCTCCTCCATGGCCGTCGTGCTCCGCCGTTAGTTCCTGGCTTTGCTTCCCCCCCTTTCTCGCCCAGGAATACCTCGGGGGCTCCTTCCTCGCCGCTTTGTTTTCATTTTTTTTTTATTACGATGACCCTTTTTTGGCTGATTTTTATTTTTTTTTTCCTGGTTTCGCTCTTGGAAAGGGAGGAAGGGAGGGGGGGGTAAAGCCCGGCGGCTCGGGCGGCGGCGGCAGCAGCAGCAGGGGCTGGCCGGGCTCCGCGGGTGCGCAGCGCCTTCCCCGGCCGAGCCGCGCGGTGCGGAGCCTGCGCCGGGGGGCGAGCGGGGCTGGCCGGGGCCCCGCTGCTTTTTTCTCCCCCCCCCTCAGCCTCCTTTTCTCCTCCTCACCCCTCCTTTTTTCTCTCTCTCTCGCTCTCTCTCTCCCCCCCCTCCTTCCTCGCCTCCTCCGCCCCCCGCACGGACTTTCCTCTCGTCTCTTTGTTCCAGTTCTCGGCCTCTCCGGGAGCGCTCCGTGGCCGGCGGGCAGCAGCGCACGTCGCGATCGTCGCGGCTGGCTCCAGTGACCGCGCCCCAGCCCGGCCATGTACCCCCAGGGCCGGCACCCGGTGAGTCCCGGACCCCCCCTTCCCTTGGCTGAGCTTCCCCCAATTCCCTTTTTCCCCCCCCCCCCCCCCCAAGCCGCTGAGCGTCCCCCCCCCCACTCCCCGCAGGCTCCGCACCAGCCGGGCCAGCCGGGCTTTAAATTCACCGTGGCCGAATCGTGCGACCGGATCAAGGACGAGTTCCAGTTCCTGCAAGCCCAGTACCACAGGTGAGCCTTGGGAGAAAGGGAGGGGGGTAGTGGGGGGGGGACACCTTAAAAAAAAAAAAAATTAAAAAAAAAAAAAGGGGGGGGGGGTGCCGTGGCGAGCTGCGCCCCGTGGTGGCTGACGGCCCCCCCCATACATACACACACCCGGTTGTGCTTTGCTTCCCCCCCCCCCCCCCCGCCCCCCCCCAGCCTGAAAGTGGAGTACGACAAGCTGGCGAACGAGAAGACGGAGATGCAGCGCCATTACGTGATGGTGAGCGGCGGGCGGGGGGGGGTGGGGGGGTGGAGGGGGGGCGGCCCCGCCGCCGAGCCCCCGGCCGAGGGAGGGGTGGAAAAGAAAAGGGAGAAATAAGTAGGGGGGGGGTCGTCACCGCCCCCTCCCACCCCCCCCCCCCCCGTCCCGCCCTGCGGTAGCCCAGGCTCGGGGTGGCAGCGCTGAGCCCCCCCCCCCCCCGGCTCCCAACCGCAGGCTCCTAATCGCAGGGGGGGGATGGGGGGGGCGTGGGAACACCGGGACCCCCCCCTCCGGTACCCCCCCGGCCCCCCGGTGCTGCCCCCGGGTCCGGTCCAGCCCAGCCCTCTGCGTGCCCCCCATGGGCTGGCTGGGGGCTGTGACCCCCCCCCTGGAGCCCTCCAGCCCCCTGACCCCTGGGTTTGAGCCGCTTCGTGTCCCCGGGGGGGGGACATGGGAGGGCTGTGGGGTGTCCCCAGGGCGAGCCAGAAACATCTGCTGGCTGTAAGGTGTCATTTCCTCGGCTGCCAGCACGGCCCCCACCAGGATGCTTTCTGGTAATGACCTTATGCAAACGCCGCCTGGTAAATGAATTCAAATTCACCTCGGCTCCTTTTTCTTTTTTTATTTTTTTTTCTTTCTTTTTTTTTTTTTTTTGGTGTGTTTCTCCCTCCCCCAGTACTATGAGATGTCGTACGGTTTGAATATTGAAATGCACAAACAGGTGAGTAATGGGAAGGGGGGAGGTGGGGCTGGGGGGCTCTCCTCTTTGCCCTTTTTCTCAGTATTGGGGGGGGGGGAAATAAACCCTGAGCAGTGAGCGGGGGCGAGGGCAGGGTCGGGGAGGTGGCTCCGGGGGAGCCTCGGGGCCCCGCAGCCCCGTTTGGCGGAGCAGATTTGGTGTGTGCGCTCGGGAGAAACTCGGATTTGGGGAAATCTGTTTGTGGGGGGTGCCAGGAGGTGCGTGCCCGGCGTGGTGGGTTCCCGGTGCTCGGAAAATGGGGATCCCTGGAGCCTTCCCCTCCTTGGTGGGGCAAAGAACCCCGCTCTGGGGTCAAACCCCAACCCTCGCGGCGCCGTGGCGTGAGACTTGCAGGGAATTAGGGAATTATCTTTGGGATGCCGATAGCCGCTGGTGTGTTGCTCAATGGCACGGGTTTGTCTTTGCATCTGGAAAAATGAAGCAATGCTTTGGTGCTTTTTTTTTTTTTTTTTTTTTCCTTTGGGTCTCCTCTAATATGTAACTTGCCCGAAGGAAAAATATAGAAAGGCCGGAGCAGAATGCGGTGTGCTACCTTGATAAGATTACGGTTAAAGAGCCTAAAGGCTGGGCACATGATGGTAAAACTTAAAGGAATAAAGTTATTATTGAGATTAGACCTGATTATTTGTGCTGCTGCTGCTTACTGGTTTTAGAAGTAGTTCTAATTAAGAACTGAAGGCAGATACGAGTTGACATCAACTTTGCAACTCGCAGATCAGCCCCGTTCAGCTCCAGAGTGGTTTTGCTTAATAGCAGCATCGCGGTCCTGCCTATGGAAGTGTCGTTAGCAGATGATTAAATTCAAAGCAGCGTGTCTGGGAGTCTGCCTCTCCTTCACACACGGTTCCCTTCGGCTTTTTGGTGTGTGTAGTCACAGAGTAGCACAAATAATTACTGCTTAGCCGTCAGGGCTTTTTGTTGGGCTTTTGTTTGGCTGGGGTTTTTGCTTGTTGTTGTTGGGTGGTGGTTTTTTTTTTGTTTTTTTTTTTTTTTTAATGTCTTCTTCCATGCAGATTATCCCAACTCCCTGTTCTCTGTCGCTTCACCCAGCCAGAGGTGTCTGTGTGAGGCTGCTTCGCCTCGGGTGCCTTTGGTTGTGGTGTGGCCCGGGATGCCCCCGCGTGCAGGGCTGGTGCCCGCTGCCCTGGCAGGCTCTCTGCCAGCCTTGGTTTGGGGATGCAGCACATTTTGTCACCTGGTTGCTGGTGCTGTGATGGCTTGGCCCCGTGCAGGGGTTGAAATGTCGCTGTTTGTGCTGATGGGAGCTTAGGAAAGCAGCTCTGAGATGTGCGGGGTGTGTTGCACCGGGGATGGTGCCTGCAGAGCCCTGCTCCAGGAGGGGCTGTGCTGCTGGATGGGGACCGGCCGCTGGTCTTGGCTTTGTGGGGTGTTGGTGGGATGCTCGGCTCCTTCCGTGCCGTGGTGTGTCCCTGTACATCATTGCCTTCCCTTTGGCCTCAGGTCTGGGGCGTTTTTGGAGTTATAGAAGAGCCCCGCTGCGCCCATGGGTGCTTTTTGGCAGGGAGGCAGGGGGGTGCCCTCACCATCTCCCACCTGGATGCTGCAGGAGTGGCAGCACCCCGGTGCTGGGGACCCCGAGACGTGCCGGGGGCTCCTCTGGGGGTGAATTCCTGGGGTGCCCCCAGCCTGCGTTGCTCCTGGTGCCACACACCGTGTGCCTCGTGCTTGCTGGGTGGGAAATTTGGGGAGGCGAAGCTGCCTCCTGCTTCAATTGACAGCAGCGTGCGTGGTGCCGGAGGAAAACACCGCGGCGAGCCCAGCGCGCTTCCAGGCCAAAATCAGGTGGGAACGGGCACGGGGCTGGGGATTGAGCCAGGACCCTGGGGGCTGAACCCCTCCTGGGTAGCCCCGTGCCCAATTTGGGTAGCCCAGCGCCCACCAGAGCCCGGTGTGGCCGTGTTGGGTCCGAGCAAGGAAGTCAGGGGCTGACCTGTTCGGCGTTGCCTCGTGTTTATCCGCGCACAATCAAGGAGGCTGAAGTGCCTGAATTATTCATGCGGTGTCCTGCCCTCCAGACTTGACTGCTTGTGATTACATCTGCTTGAGACAAACATTGATGGATACTTCATCTTTAAGCAAAAGGGAGATTGTCTGGCTGTGGGCTTATATAACAGATTATCTCTTCTGCGCCGAATATTAAGCGCGTGCATATGCGCCCGGGTGCGCGTTTTGGGTTGTTTTGTGTTTTTTTCCCCCCCCCTCCCTTTCTTCTCGTTTTGTTTCTCGTTAAGAAAAAAATGCAGTTTCATAAACAAGTCCATATGCAAGGAAATATTTAGGAAGTGACTACCCACTTTGTTGCATGTCAGGCAGTCAATCGCTCCTTACATCGGCCTGGCGGTGAATGCAGCGCTCTGTTACCCCGCTCGGCTTCCCCGGCGCGGGGCTGCTCAGGGCTTCCCTTCCCAAACCCCGGCGAAACTCTTTTTAAGGTTAATTGATTTTCACAAAGAGCCCTTCTTTCCCGTCTTGTTTCGGCATTGTTTTTGTTCAGATCTGGGCAGATAATCGCCAGACGCCATCCGAGGGAGCAACGATTCCAAAAGAAAAACTAATTTTGCGTTGGGAAACAGGACACCTCGGAGGGGGAACCTTTGTGCCTCGTGGTTGTTTTTTTTCTTTTTTTTTTTTTTATGGCTGAGAACTCTCCACATAAGCACTTCTTGTTTTCGTGCTTAAACACTTAATGCTTTGGAACAAACCTAAACCCTCCCGACACTTCCCTGGGAAGAGAGGCTTAATTTTTTTTTTTTTCCCCCCCCCCCCCCCCCTTTTCTAGAATATTCCAAGAACACAATATACTTTCTGTCGTGCTCGTTAGCGAGGAGTGCCAGGTAATAATTTGCTAAATACTTCGGAAGCCAAGTAATTTGCTAGGGTGATGCTTTCAGGGCTCCCAAGGTAGGAGCGAGCCCGTGCCAACCCGTTGGAGCTGCGGGTGCCCCCGGCTGGGCTCTGCCCCCCCCCCAGTAATGAGGGGGGGGGCGCCCGCCCCTCGGCGCCCCCTCCCCGAATTTAATTCTCATCAGCGAAGCTCTCCACTTTGCTAATAACGATAGCAGCCACAAATAGCTTTCAACATGCCATTGACAGCCCGGTTGGAGAGAGCACTTGAAATAGTGGTAGACAGCTGAAAGTACCCATAATTGTGTGCCGGAGTGAGAACCACACTGCTCAAGGGCCTGATTTTCATGTGCTTAAAGAGACAATATCCTGGCTTCAACAAACGCTTCTGGTGCTTCACGGCTGGTGTGATTTACTCCTCGTCCTCCTCCCGCGCCGGGCTGGGCTGGGGCAGAGCCGGGTGCGGAGCTGGGGCATGGCCGGGGGGCTCCGGGGGGCTCCTCGCCCTGGGAGCCGGGGTGCTGGGGGCTCACCGAGGGGCTCTTAAGGCTGTTGTGGGGCGTTTTGTGGAGGGGATGGAGAGCTGGGGCTGCCTCGTGCTTGGTGCTTCCTCTCTGGTGTTGTCCCACCTGATGAAGTCGTCACGCCGGGGAGGGTTGGGGTCCAGCCGGGTGCTGGGGGTGATGCAGGCACCGCAGGTGTCTGATCAAAAAAAATCAGAAAAATCACAAAAAATGCTCACAAAACGCTGAGCCAGAAGCATTTCTGGTGCAGCAGCAGGTCGGATCCCTGGTGGGGCTGAGGGCAGAGCGGAATTAGTGGGGATTTTGGGTTCTCCTCGCCCTTTTTACCTGCTGGGGGCATCCCTGCTGGGGCTGAGCATCCCTTGGGGGGCTCCGGTGGGTGTCGGTGCTGCCACCACCCCGTATGGCTCCTGGCTCTCCATCCTCTGCTGTGGACAAAGCACACGGTGCGTGCCGCGGGGATGCGGGGCCAGCCATCGCCATGGCAACCCCGTGCCACAAATCGGGATTTTTCATGGCTGGAGCTGCCCGCTGGGGCTGGGGGGGCTCCGCAGGGCGCGACGAACGGGGAAGGTGTCGGGTGTGGAGCCCTGCCCTGATCCCGCAGCCCCAGAGCATCCCTTTGTGCTGCCAATTAAACTTCTAACGGGGCCAACTGGAGTTTAATGTGCCGGGGAATGGGAAAAATTAAAGTGAACAAATATTTAAAGATTATCGAGGCTCCTGCTAACAGGAACCGTGGCGGTTGTAGCGTTTTGGACATTAATGGATTCTTGCTTGCTGAATGCGGGAGGTCTTTTTTGTAGGGGATGAAGCTTTTCTTCAAGTCTTTGTTGGAAATTTGGGCGAAATTGGACTTGAATGGCTGTTCTTGGTGCGTTTTGTGTGTCTGGGTGGTGTTAGTGCTTGGCAGCGGCCAGGAAAGACCCAGCAGCGGCTTGCTCCTCCCTGGGCTCCCCGCAGCCTGTTGGGGCGCAGGATTCTTCCCTCTGCACCTAAATGACCTGCCCGACACTCAGCCCGAGGGGCTGCTCTTGCTGGCACTGGGGTTCTCCGTTCAAATTAGGGCTGAATTTGTTCTGGAACCTGCCAGGAGCCAGCAGAAAGGAGCCCACGCATCTGCTCACGGAGAGCGGTCGCGCTGGAGGAGCCGTACACCGAGTGCTCGTGGCATCCAGAATCCAATCGGCTTCATCAGAAGGAATAAATATTTAATGGGGCTGCAGTTTATATAGAGCCTAATCGATCTGTCAATGCCAAAAAGGCCTTGGGAGAGCTTTCCCTATCGCCGAGCAGCGGGCGGTGCAGCCCCGGGGTGCTTTCCCGTGGCACTGCTGCTCCGGAGCAGCCCCGCGCGGGGCTCGGCGGGGTTTTTGTGGCTTAATTCCTCATGGATTTGGCGTGAGGACGGAGGTGCTGCTGCCTGGGAGGTGCAGGCACTGAGAGGCTCCTGCTGGAAGGAAGGAGCACCCTAAGTGCACCGAGCACGAGGCGAGCCTCGCGTCCTTGCTTTCAGGTCCATTACGCTCCTGGCGGCCGCGGCGCTCGCCCAGCTGCGGCTTAATGCACCTGAGTCGCCGAGGCAGGAGCTGGGAGATGCCTCCTGCTTGAAATGCGGCACCAGCCGATTCCCATGACCTCTGAAAGGGCTAATAAAAGCATCAGGTGTCATCTGATCGCCGCGATGCTTTCTGAAAAGCCGGCGTCCAGAAATACCGCCGGCGCTTTGAAGTCGGAGCGCGCGGTGCCCGCCGCAGGTGCTGCCTCGCTGCGGGGTGTTTCGGAGGGTTTCTTTGGAGGGTTTGGGGTCCTCCTCGCGCCTTGCTGCCCCTTGGTTTTCCCGTTGGTTCTTCCCCTGCCTCTGCTCCATCCCTCAGAGCAGCGTTGAGTTTCTGCTGTGTTTTTTTCCTCCTCCCCTGTAAACGATCAGTTTGGGTTTCTCGCTTTTACTGCAGCCTTTGGGGAGCAGGCGGGGGTGAGCCCCTCTCCGTGCGGCACCCACAGGGGCTGGGGCTGCAGCGGGGGGCTCTGGGGGGCACACGGGGGGCTCTGAGCTGATGCTGGCCGATGGGAGCGAGACCAGGTAATCGCTTCTGCCTTACTGGTAACCGCTCGGGGCTGTCGGGAGGAATTCCTCGGCGTTTGATTGTGCTCCAGGGCTCCGCTCTGACCATTGTTGCGGCGCTGAAGCCTCACGGCTGCTCAGGAATTGTTTGAGTTGGACCAGAAGCTGTTTTAACAGCTGCTGCGGCCAGCAAAGCGGCCGGCGTTAACTCTTGGGATCCGGGGCATGCTCTGCCCTGGACCGGCCACAGCTCCCCATCCATCCCCTGCTCCTGCACAGCTCGGGGGGGTGCCCTGGAGAGGATGAGGCCCCCCCTACAAGCCTTTATCCACGGCTTGGCTGCGGGGTGGGAGCATCCCCGGGGCGCTCGGTGCGGGCACGGCGGTGGCTCCCAGCACTGGGGGGCTGAGATGCAAACTGCTGACTCGCCTGGAAGGCGCGGCGGGGTTTTTGCTGAAGGAAAACGTTATTCCCGGCTAATGGAGACGTCGCAGAAACCACAGTTTGACAGCAGAGGCTGTTATTATTAAACTCCTAAATAATGTGGTCAGGCTGACAGGTGTGGATGGTTACGGGTTGAATATCTGGGGTGTGATGTAAGGATGGCAGCCGTAACCCCAGCGGCTGCGCTTGGGGTGGGGAAGGAGCCCGATGCAGCTGGGATCGGAGGAAACCATCGGCCGCGCGTGGCACTGGCCAAGGTCACTGTTGGCTACCTGCTTGGTGCAGGGGGTGGCCTCTGTGTTTGCAGAGGTTTCTGGTAGAACACAGCCCTGGAAAATGGGTGGTGGGGCCGGGCTGCCACCCGTGCGTCCCTCGGGTGCGCCGCACCCAGTATGGGGCCGGAGCGGTGCCAGCACCCGGGCACCGCATCCACTCAGACCTTCATCATCTTCATTCCAGCTTCAGGAGTCGGGAAGCTGCCTGGGCTGGCTTTGTGCTGCACGGTCCCATGAGAGGAGTGGGGCTGAGATGTCAGAAGGGGGGAGCAGCCCCTGCCCCGTGCTGCGGGCACGGTGCGCCCCGTGCGCTTTTGCCGGGGAGCCGCTTCCTCCTGCGCCGTGGGGAGGGGAGGGGATGGGAGGGGAGGGGATGCAAATCTCTGCTGCTGCTGCTGCTGGGAAGCCCGGCGCAGTCTGCAGGAGGCAGCTTCGTGCTAACCCCTGCCTTTTCTTCTTCCCTTTTTTCAGACAGAAATTGCTAAAAGGCTGAATACAATTTTAGCGCAGATCATGCCTTTTCTGTCACAAGAGGTAAGGACGTTTCCGTGCCCCGGGTGGGGGCTGTGCTTCCCCAGGGAACCTTCCCCCCCCAGAGCAGCTTTTTGGGGGGCTGGGGTTGGTTTGAGGGAAGCGGGGCTCAGTCCCCCGTGGGTGCTGTAAAACCTTTGGTGGGGAAGAGAGGGGGGGACCCCGGGAGAGGCTTCGTGGGCTCTGCTGTGCCCAGACTGAGCTGGTGATGCAAAACCAGCCCCTTGCCTGTCAGGGGAAAGGAAAAGTGTAAAAAAAAAATTAAAAACAATAATAAAAAAATGAAAAGGGGGGGATCAGGGTGGCCCCGGGGCATGGGGGGGATCAGGGTGGCCCCGGGGCATGGGGGGACCTGTCTTGGTGCCACGTGCCCTGCTCTGACCCAGCCTCTGTCCCCGCAGCACCAACAGCAAGTTGCACAGGCTGTTGAACGTGCCAAGCAAGTGACAATGACGGAGTTGAATGCTATCATCGGGGTACGTGGACTTCCCAATCTGCCTCTCACCGTGTGTATACCCCTTTTATTCCTATCATTTACCATAACCAGAGGCAATCCTGCGCTCGGGCGGCGTTAGGGAAGGGCAGCTCATGGCACTGCCACCATCCCAGCCCCCCCCCGATCCGGCACTGGGCGAGGTGGGGTCGCAGCCAAATTCCCCCCCAGCACCAGGCAGCACCAGGAGCCCCCCCTCCAGCCAAATGCTGCTCATCCCCAAGGCTGGGGGGCGTCCGAAGGGAGCTGAGCAGGGCCCAGGTCCCCCCAGCCCCCCCAGCCCAGGCTTGCCTCTGCCTGTACTGTTGATGTGAAATGTGCTGTAAGCTTGCCGGAGTTGTTCCATGCATTGACTTACCCGCTTCGGTGTGGCCGGGGTCTGTCGAGCGTTTTTAAGACTTAACGACTTTAATTGTCTCTTAATTGGTGTAAAGGTCTCGGTCCTGCAGGAAACCTGCTCCTGTCGGAGCTCCCCTACGCGGGGCAGCGCAGTCCCCGAGCAGCGTCCTGGCCCGAGAGCTCTTTTGGGGCTAGCTCTTGGTTTTCTGGAGAAGATTTAATTTTTTGGAGCATTGCTTTTGGTTTTCTATAGAACATTTATTTATTTTTTTTGAAGCAACTGTCTGCACTTCTGCCTTATGGTACGAGGGAGCTCCCCGCCTGCATTTAACCCGCTCTCCTGCACGGAAGCAGGGGCAGAAAGCTTCTTGCAGCAGCTCTCGCTGCATCCTGCACGTCCTGGGAAATGTGCGGAGCCTGTCCCTGGTTTTTCCCTTTTAACGGGCAGCCCCAGGCGGCTGCGGGGCCGGGCAGGGGCTGGGGGGGGGGAGCTCGGCGCTGCTTGGCTGCTCCTAGCCCTAGCCAGGAGGCAGGCAGCTAGAGGCAGATATCGGAATTCAATTAAGGTAAACGAGCGGGGCCCGTGACCCCCATTTTCAAGGTAATTGCTTCCTCGGAGCAGAGCTGAGGCGAGTGTCGTCCCGCCATTAAGCAGCCAGCCAGTTAATCGCTCTGCCTGACGAACCTGCACGAGGCAGGAGTTACGGGCAGAGGAGGGCGCGGGGCTGCTCCCCGGGGAGCAGGCACCTCGTGCTGTGGGGTTTTGGTCACCCCGTCCCCAAAACCAGAGCTTTTTCCCCTTCACCAGAGAGAATTTCTCCCCGCACCGCTTTGTTGTTGGAGGGTTTTGGCGTGGGGCGGCTCGCTCGCGCGTGTCCGTGCTTCTGGGGTGGGAGAGAGCAGCCCGTGGGGCGTGCACGGCCCCCGCACCCCGTGTCCCCTGGGGACAGGGTGGGGACAGCGGGGACAGGGTGGCTCCGCTGTCCCCGCGGGGCCTCGCGGCCAGAGGAGGTGGCTGTGTTTGTAACCGCGCCAGCAGGTGCCCAAAACAAAACCGACCGGCGCAAAAAATGCACCAAACCATTAAAACCTTTTTTCGCCCCTTTTGAGGTCAAGAACTGTTAATTTTATGCATCTAGGCCATTGTCTCACAGTTCCTCTGCTTCAGGCTTCTGTGAAATTGAGCCCTTGATTTGGTTATAGCTCTGGAAATGATTAGACTACTTTACTAAATTTAACGCAAGTGGTGAACTTAAGTGGTGAACCATTAAATCGGTTAACAAAGGCATGAAGCATGATGTACATAATCCAATTAAAAACACTCTACATACAAGATATTCCTTGCCAGCCTTTCTCGTAAACCGTAACCTCTTCATATCTTAACCATATTTGTCTGGCACACGCCGGGAGACCCCAGGAGGAAAAGGGCTCTGCGCCTGCGCGCCCCTCGCCGCCTCCTCTCGCTTGGCCGGGGGACCCGGGGCTGAGCGGTGCTCGGTGCCCACCCTTGCCCCCAGCCCCCTGCCCCAGGAGGGCTGCAGGGTGCCACGGGGAAGCTGCCCAAATCCCCGGGTGCTTCCCGGTGCTGGGTGCCCAGTTTGAATCCCTGGGTGCTCCCAGCACGGCCAGCAGTGGGTGCCCAGTTCGGGGCTGAGGTTACGGGGATGGTTTTGGGGTGGTGGAGGTGGCCGAAGAGCTCCTGCACCCCGTCAGCCCCCAGCTTGAAGCTTCACCCATGGGGCTGCTTGGCAATGAACCCCTTGGTGATGTGGGGTTTGGAAACTGCCTTTTTTTGGGGAAGGAACAAAGGTGGGGAGGGATGGTGTTTTTTGGCAGAGCAGGCACAAAGCGAGGGGCATCGCTTCGCTCTGCTTCAGCCCCCTGCTCCGTGGACACCTGGGCAGGGTCCCCCCTGCTGCGGGGTCTTCCTGGATATGGGATTCCTGGTGGGATGCGTGCTCACAGCTCCGTGGGCTCGCCTGCGTGGATGTGGCAGAGCAAAGCAGCCGGGAAGGACGGAGCTGGGAGCGCAGCGTGGGCACCCTGGGCTCGTCGTCCCTTTGGCACCTTCGGTCCCTTCGGCGAGGGAGCTCCCGAGGTGCCTCCTGCTCACCGGTTCCTGCTTGCCAAAGGGAAAAAAAAATGACTCTTAAACATTATTTTAAGCTGAGGTGGGACGTCGTGGCTTGGTGCTTATTTCTACCCCTTTGCTGGGTGGTTCATACCCCATGGGGCCGGTCCCACGCAGCTCAGCGAAGCGTTGGCTGGACGTGTTTGCCAGCAGCTTGAGAAAAAAAAAAAGAAAAAGAGAAAAAAAGGAAGAAAACAGCGTTTTTCTGCTCCACTGGAGGGAGAGGCTCAGGGGGCTGAGCCGTCCTGCCTGCCTCGCTCTGCCCCACCTGGGTGCTCGGAGGGGCTGTGCCGTGTCCCTGGGCTGTGCCCTCAGCCCCGTGCGGGGTCTGCCCGTGCAGCGGGGTGCCCAGGGCTCCCTGCCCTGCCTCCAGGGCTGCTGCTGCCCCGTGGAGGTGGCTGGAGGAGCATCCCGAGACCACCCTTCTGCCCGCCGTGGAGAGACGAGGAGAAAGCGTTGGATTTGGGGGCTGGAAAGCATCCGGGGAACGCTGCGGTCCCACAGCCCGAAACGGGTGGAAATCATGCAGGGCTGGGACTGGAAAGGGCTCCTTGATTTCCCTACGAGGTCAGGCGCTGTGCCGCTCACTTGGAGATGGGAAGGATCGATATTGGGATGCTGGCAGAGCTGTGGGGCTGGGGACCCCCTTGTGAGCCGTGGTGCCCCCTGGTCCCGCCAGCGTGGGCTCCTTGTGCCGCTGCCTCGTGCGTGCTGGACTGAGGACGTCTGTGAGATTTTGGAGGGCCTGAAGATGCCGCCCCCTCCCCGCACCATGGATGGAGCAGCCCAGCAGAAGTCCTGGAGCTCCTGCTTTTGAGGATGAAACGATTCGTGCCTTTTCCCTGCCGGCGCTGCGGGTGCCTAATAATTGCCTTCTGGATTTGGCTCCTGCCACAGCCGAGACCTTTGCACTGCCCGGAAGAAGCTGCATTTGGAGATAATGCGTCTCCTCGGCCCGAAACTGCGACTGCTTACTTTCCAATCTGACCCCGGGTCGCTGCGGGGTGGGGATTTCCCTCTCGCCTCGCTCGGGGTTTAGAAACCCAGCCCGGCTGCGAGCAGCGGGCAGGCGTGGGCTGCCCACCCCGAGCTCTGCCCGGCCCCTGCGCTGCTTCCCCCAGGAATTCTTGGGGCTGTGCCCCAAAATATGGGGCTGTGAGGGCTGCTGGGTGGTGTTTGTGCTTTGTTCCCGTGGATTAAACCAAACGGGGCCGTGATGGTGCTGGCAGCAGCCCCGTGCTTTCTCAGAGGACCCCTGCCCACTCTGTGCCCCCATCAGGGTGCCCATGCAGTGCGCAGGCTGGCGGTGCGTCTGCTCACCGTGCCACAGGACCCTCACCCCCTGCTTGCCCCCTCAGCGACCATTTGTGCCACGTTTGGTGGCACTGGGGAGGGAGAAGATGTGGCTGGTGCCAGCACAGGCTGGCAGGGGAGAGGCGAGGGGGCTCTGCTGGTCCCCCCCAGCCCCTCGTTCCTGGGGTTGGTGCAGCAGGAGGGGTGGAGATGCTGGTGCCGGGGAGCCTCCTGGGCAGCCTGCTGCTGTCCACGGTGTGGGGAGGTGGAGCAGGAGCTGTGGAGATGAAACGTGGTGCTTGGGAATGAGCGCTCTGAGCCAGGCTTGGAGCAGTAACCCCCTAACTCAAATCTCTGCCCGCTTTCTCCAAAAAAAAAAGAGTTCGGATCTGACCCAGAGGCGCGAGGGATGCGGCTCCTCCTGTCCCTTCCTCTCCCCAGAGCCTCAGCTCAGCTCTCCGCGGGCACACCACGGGATGGCTGAGCCAGGGGGTGCCGGCAGGGTTGCAGAGTGGCAAAAGGGTCACCTGCAGCTCGGGCACCCCCTGGGCGCTCTGCTTTTGTCCCTGTGGTCTCGCTGAGCGGCCGCTGCTCTGGCCAGAGCCGTTCCCTGCGGCACAGGGTAGCGCTGATGCTTTTGCTTCTGTCTGTCGGGGAGAGCAAAACCAGGCCTGCAGCGACGATGCAGCTCACCTCGCATCGAGGACGCATCCCGTGCTGTGGTTGGGACCACCCCTGGGTTCCCCCCCCCTGTTTTGGGGTCCCTCCTGCTAACGGGGCTTCTCCTTGCAGCCGGCCTCACCTCCCGGCGCCGCACGCCTCGGGGCTCCTCCGGGGTGGCTCCAAGCCTCCCCCATCCCGCTGCCCCCTCCCTCCCCGGCTCACTGGTGGTCTCATTGCAGCAGCAGCAGCTCCAGGCTCAGCACCTCTCCCACGCCGCCCACGGGCCCCCGGTCCAGCTGCCGCCGCACCCCTCGGGCTTGCAGCCTCCCGGCATCCCGCCCGTCACCGGCAGCAGCTCGGGGCTGCTGGCGCTCGGCGCCCTGGGCAGCCAGGCACACCTGGCTGTAAAGGACGAGAAGAACCACCACGACCTGGACCACAGAGGTGAGAGCCCTACCCCTCATCCCTCTGCTGCTTGGGGTTGTGGGGTGGTCCCAAAGCGGTGCCGGAGCCCCCCCGGTGCGCGGCGTCGCTGCCTCCAGGTCACCCAGGGGCACCCGGTGGGGCAGAGCCTGCTGGGGTTTGAGGGGTGTTGTGGGGTGGGGGGGTTGGCTCCAGATTGCTCCTTTCTGTGCCCGTTTAGGACAGGGAAGGCAAATGACCCAGGAGGTGACACCATTGGGTTGAGCCCTGTTGGGTTAATTCGCTCCTGTGGCCCTGAGCTCGCCCTCGAGGCTGAGCCCTGCAGGCATGGAGCTGTGCGGTGATGGCAAAGCACCCTTCCTCCTCCTCCTCTTCCTCCTCCATCACCATCACAGCTCTGCTCAGAGGCTTTGATGGCCTGGAAACCAGTGACGTTCACTATTGTGCACGTTTTTTTCTTATTAGCCATAAATCATTCTTTTGGGGAGGAAAAAACAAGGCACGGGTTCAGCTGCGCACCAAAAGTGGTGCAGGTTTTCCCTGCAGCCCCGTGTTAGCACGCAGGACCTGTGATCTTTCCCCCATCGCTCCCGTAGCTGTGAGGTTCCCACACGTGTTTGTCTCCCCGTGAACACCAGCAGGAGACAGATCCTGGCAGCAATTACCCAGTTCCCTTCATTTTCCTGCACAGATCCCAGTTACCAGGAGGTGCCAGGGGAAACGGGGCCGTGTAAACGCGCACGGACCCTTCTGGGCTTGTCACCTTGGCTCTCAGGACCCCGTCCCCATGCCCTTCCCTGTGCCTTTCGATGCCTTTCCTCGATGCTTTGTGCATTTTGCCATCTAAATGAGAACGGGCAGAGGGGGAGGAGGTGGCACGAGGGAGGGAGATGGGTTTGCGAGCGAAGCCGAGCGGAGCCCGGCGTGGGCTGAGCTCGGGTAGGGCACTGCAGCGGGGAGCCCCTGGGTTTGTTGTTTCTGTTCTAAGCCTTATTCTAACTGCTGTTGTTTTTGTGTCTTCTTTTTGTTTGGCTGCGACCTCGCCTCTGCCACCTGGCTGCCTCTAAAAGAGCGCGACTCGAGCGCGGTGAGTCCCGTGCCCCCTTTCCCTCCCCGTGCCCCCTTCCCTCTCCATCTCGGTGCCGATGGCTGCGCGGTTTTGCTCCAGTTACCACATTAAAAAGCAGCCTCCTGGGTGTCACCTCGGGGGGGGATGCCTTTCCGATGGGTCTTATGAAAGAGAAAATGGAAAAAAAACCAGGCGAAATCCCCACCCCGTTATGGGATGTGATCACTGTGCTGGGCTCGGATCCCCCCCGGGGCTGCGGCGCGCCCCCCGCTGCTGGAGCTCCGCGAGCGAGCGCGGATAAAAAAAAAAAAATCCTTCAGCGATTAGGAAAGCTATTTTATTCCCGATCACTCTCCTATTATCTTGGGTCATCTAATCTGCCGGGCCGGTTGGGGCTATTACGCCGTGTTAAGTAGGACTCGGAAGGTCAAGCAGTTAACTAACCAGCTCAAGAACCGTGCTCGAGGGCAACTGCCACCTCCAGCACTGATTTCATTTATTTTTAATTTTTTTTTTTTTTTGGCCCTGCCTTAATGGCAGCGGCGTGGCTCTCGCTACGGCCAGGCGCTGCTTTGTGGCACGGTGGGGGCTCGAATAGGTTGTGGGGGGGGGTTCAACCCTCGCCCCCCGCCCCGGGTGCCTGCTGCCCGCGTCCTGCAGCCGAGCTGCCGGCACAAAGCCCGGCTGAGCCGCGGCTTTGCAGCGATTTCCTGCCATCCGTGCACGGCCCCGGCCCCTCGCTGCGGAGGGGCCCTTGGAGAGCCGAGGGCGGATGGGAAGAAAAGTGCTATTTAAAGGGGGGGGGGGGAGAGGGGAATCGGGCATCATTAACCTGCCTGCTCGCAGGGGCGGGGAGGGGGCCGTGAAAGATGGGAATGTTCCCGATCTATAAAATAAAACACGGGGCATTCCCCGGGGAGGTTTAATGCGCACGATAATCAGAGTTAGTCATTCATATTTTCCTAGCCTTGCCTGAGCAATAAAAAATATTTAGTTTCTTGGCGGCGCGCCAGCAGAAGGCTGAATGGATCGATGCCTCTAAATGCTTGACATGATTCTCTGGTAGCTCCGAGGTTTTTCAGCATGACTGCCTGAGAAGAAAGACCCCGGTGTTATCCAAAGCTGCTTATTGGGTACCGAGGAGAAACATGAACTGCTTTAGTTCTCCCTTTCAGAAGGAAAAGAAAGGCAGGCAGAGGGGCTTAGAAACAGCTCTGCTTAGCAGGGGCGGCGAGCTCCGCGACCAGACGCGCGGTGACGGCGATTGCTCCTGCGGCTCCCAGAACCTAATTGAATCCCATCGCCCCGGGGCCGGGCTGTCGGGGTTTTGCCAGCCCCGGCACCGCTTCCCTGTTCCCGTTTTTCGCTCCCAGCCCAGAGCTGGTGGGCGAGGGGGGTCCCTGGTGGGGCCACGGCTTCGGATGTGCCCGGGGCTCCTGCGCAAAACCCCAGCGAGCTCGGCTGTGCCGCCAGGCTCCTTTGCTGGGTGTTTTTCTAAATGTTTTTTGAATGCCCTTTGGCTTGGCGGAGCTCGGCTGCTGCTGCGGCTTAGCCAGGGCTGAGATAAAGCAGCTCCCTGGCCGCCGGGCCCCGCTGTGCCCTTTGCTCCCCTAATAAAACCCGGGGACGAGGTCCCGGCTCTGCTGCCACCGAGGAGAACGCCTGCGCTTGTGCCGAGCCCAGCCCGGGGCTGGGGTTTGGTGTCCCTATTTACCAGCAGCCTCCCCAGCTTCCTCGCAGGGTTTTCCATTCGGAACACCAGGCAGCTCCTCCCTTCTCCCTGCTTTTGGGGCAAACGGGCTCGGGTGCCCACAAGCAGCCGCGTGGGGCTGGAGGCGATGCCGGGGGCTCGCCTGCCCCTGGGGTTTTGGGCTCTGGGGCTGGGTTCTGGGCTTGGTGCTGTGCCCTTCAGGCTGCTGCTCTCCAAGCCCCTGAGTCTTTGTGCTCGTAACTCAGCCGTGCCTGTTGTTTTATTTTATTTTTGCAGAATAACTCCGTGTCGCCCTCGGAAAGCCTGAGAGCCAGCGAGAAGCACCGGAGCTCCACAGATTACAGCATCGACTCCAAGAAGCGGAAAGCGGAGGAGAAGGACAGCATGAGCCGATATGTGAGTGGCACGGCACGGGAAGCGCCAGCAGGGGCGGGCACTGCTTGTTCGGGCAGGGCTTTGGGTAAAAGAAAGCTGGGTTTGGGCAAAACGTGGCGAACGCAGGGTGGATGCGCCCTGCCTGGTGCTGCCAGGGGGGTTTGGCTCTGCGGGGGCTTCTGTGGGGTTTTGGGGTGCTGACTCCTGCTGTGTTCCAGGACAGCGATGGTGACAAGAGCGACGACCTGGTCGTCGACGTCTCCAACGAGGTGAGCCGAGCAGCATTTCGGGAGCTCTGCGTGCTGGGGTGGGGGTCCAGGGGATGATACCGGGGTGCGAGCGCTTTCTCCCATCCTACAGGACCCCGCCACCCCCCGGGTCAGCCCGGCCCACTCCCCCCCGGAGAACGGCATCGACAAAGCCCGCGGGCTGAAGAAGGGGGACGCACCGAACAGCCCGGCCTCGGTCGCCTCCTCCAGCAGCACTCCCTCCTCCAAAACCAAGGACCTGGGCCACGTACGTGCCGTGCCCTGTCCCCTGCCCTGCCCTCCCTGCAGCATCCCGAGCAGGGGCTGCCCTCCCATGGGTGCTGGTGGTTGAACCTCATCCTTTATATGTGGTTTTTTTTTTTTTTTTTGGGTTCCTTTCTCCATCCAGAACGATAAATCGTCAACGCCCGGCCTCAAGTCGAACACTCCGACGCCGAGGAACGACGCCCCCACCCCGGGCACAAGCAGCACCCCGGGGCTGCGACCGATGCCTGGCAAGCCGAGCGGCATGGACCCTCTGGGTGGGTACCCCCGGGGCTCCCCAGGGCTTGGGGGTGGGCAGGTTTTGGGGACCCTACCCCAGCTCGGCACGAGCCCCGAGCGCTTTGCATGGAGACGGGGACGATCAGGGGATGGCACAACCATCGCGCCACGGTCCCCCTGAGCGCATCCCTGACCCCCCCCCAGCCTCAGCCCTGCGGACGCCCATCTCCATCGCGGGTTCGTACGCGGCCCCCTTTGCCATGATGGGGCACCACGAGATGAACGGCTCGCTCACCAGCCCCGGAGCCTACGCCGGCCTGCACAACATCCCCCCGCAGATGAGCGCCGCTGCCGCCGCCGCCGCCGCCTACGGCCGGTCGCCAATGGTGAGCTTTGGAGCTGTACGTAGCACTTTTAGCTCCTTTTTTCGCTCACGGTGGGGGCGGGAGGGGTTTGGGGATGTCGGGGGGTTCCCCTGTGTTGGGTCAGGGAGTGGGGGTGCTCCTGGCCGGCCGTGGTTTGATTTGGCTGCTGGTGAGGGGGGCTGCGCATGGGGTTTGGGGTGTGCACCTTTGGGTATCGCTCTGCGTTGGGGTATCCTGGCCTGGGTTCATGGGAAAAGCACTGCACAGGCAGCTCCCCCTTCGTTCAGACCCTCGTGGGTAGACCAGGAGTTGGGCTCGATGATCCTTATGGGTCCCTTCCACCTGGGGATATTCTATGATTCCATTTTTAGTACTGTTAAATGCCTCATTGTGTGTTTTAAAGCCCAAACACAGTCAGAATGGGAACTAAAGCACTGCCATTGCTGCAGAGTTTGGGGTTTCTGCAGCACTGGGGCGCAGCTTCCCACTTGGGACTTGGGAACGGTGTGGGGAGGGCGAGCGAAGTCCCACGCTGCTCCTGGAGGGCCTGAAATCTTTGGTTATCTCCCCAATCCTTCCCCTTTCTGGTGGCGTGGGGGGTAAAATCGCCATCAGCTATTGAGCAATTGTGGGCAAACGGGGAGCCGCGGGGCTGGGGCTTGGGGGGCTGACGTGCGCCGTGCCCGGCTCGTGCCCCCCTCACCACGTTGTCTCCCTGCAGGTCGGCTTCGATCCTCACCCACCCATGCGAGCCCCCGGCCTGCCCACCAGCCTGGCGTCCATCCCCGGAGGGAAGCCGTAAGCACCTTAGGGTTTTCTGCGGGGTTGGGTGCGGGGTTTCTCCACGTGGTGGGGACCGCGGTCAAGTGCTGGTGACCCCCAATTTGGTGATGCCCCTGGCGAGGCCGTGCTGCGTTTCAGCACTCCCATTTCCCGGGGCTGACCCCCGTGTGTCCCCCCCCTTTTTGCAGAGCCTACTCGTTCCACGTCAGCGCCGACGGGCAGATGCAGCCGGTCCCCTTTCCCCACGACGCCCTGGCCGGCCCCGGCATCCCGCGGCACGCCCGGCAGATCAACACGCTGAGCCACGGGGAGGTGGTGTGCGCCGTCACCATCAGCAACCCCACCCGGCACGTCTACACCGGCGGCAAGGGCTGCGTAAAGATTTGGGATATCAGCCAGCCGGGCAGCAAAAGCCCCATTTCCCAGCTCGACTGCCTGGTAAGGGGTCTGGGGGGGGGTCCGTCCCCGTGCCGCCGGCGCGCTGCGCGGTCCCCCCCAGCCTGGTGCTCACGGTGACCCCGTGCCCCTGCCTCCCCCTCCCCAGAACAGGGATAATTACATCCGCTCCTGCAAGCTGCTCCCCGACGGCCGCACGCTGATCGTGGGGGGGGAGGCCAGCACGCTCACCATCTGGGACCTGGCCTCCCCCACGCCCCGCATCAAAGCCGAGCTCACCTCCTCCGCCCCCGCCTGCTACGCGCTGGCCATCAGCCCCGACGCCAAAGTCTGCTTCTCCTGCTGCAGCGACGGCAACATCGCCGTGTGGGACCTGCACAACCAGACGCTCGTCAGGTGAGCAGCCGGCACCTTCCCTGGGCTCCCCGCGTGGGTTTCCCACTTGCTCGGTGCGGGGACAGCCCTGGAGGTGCAGCGCTGGTGCGCACGGTGATGCCCTCCTGCCCCGAGCAATCCCCCATCCCGCAGCTTCCCCAGCTCCTTTGAAGCGACCTCCGTGGGTTGTGCCGTGCCTTCCCCCTTCAAGATTTTAATTTTTTATTTTTTATTTTTTTTTTTATGTTTTCTCGCAGGCAATTCCAAGGCCACACGGACGGTGCCAGCTGCATAGACATCTCGCATGACGGTACGAAGCTGTGGACGGGGGGGCTGGACAACACCGTGCGCTCCTGGGACCTGCGGGAAGGGCGGCAGCTCCAGCAGCACGACTTCACCTCCCAGGTGAGCCCTTGGGCTCGTGGAGCCCTCGTGCAGGGGTTTTCTGTCCATGAAAAGTGAGCCTGCCTGCTCCAGGATGGCCCCAAAAGTGGCTGGTGCCTCCATGGTGATGGAGGGAAGCTCTTCCTGCTGGTGCCTGCGTGTCCTGGGTGTAACGCAGGAGCATTTGAGGCAGTGGGAGCTGTGGGACCCCCCTGGCTCTCATTTTTAGCCCCTCTTTTGTTGCTTTTTCACCTGGTGCAAGACCGGGCTGCCATAAGGAGAGCAGTGCTCACACCAGGATGCTGGAGGAGCCCGGTGCGTGGGGTGGGAGCAGGGCACGGGCAGCTGTGTGCCCCTGGAGACCTCCCAGAGCCCTCTTCCAAAAAAAAAAAAAAACCAACATCTGGGACCTCACATGCCCTTAGCAAATGTGTCCATCCCGTGGGGCTGGCACCCCCCCAGAGCTTTGCATGGCTGCAGTCCCCTGATGTGTCTGTGCTTCTCCAAACCCTAGGAGCCAGGACTCGCAGCTCATGTAGCCGTGCTGCCATCCACGCTGAGCCTTTCTGTTCTAGACATGCCAGACAGACACTTTTTGTCCTAAATGTCAGCACCGGGAGCACTGTCCCTGCGGGATGCTGCTGGGTGCCTCGTGCAGACCCCCAGCAGGGCCCCTCCTGCAGCTCCCGGCTCTGCCAAGCCCCGTTCCAGCTCTGGGATGGGTGATGATTTAGGACAGGGCTCCGTCCCTTCCAGCTTCCCAGGTCCTTTCCCTTCTGAATCTCTGGCCTTGCAGTCAGCTCTGTGAGCAAAACCAGGTTAAAATCAACCAGAGAAAAAGAAAGAACAGAGTGGGGTGGGCGGAACTGGAGGAGCTGTCTGGTGCTGTCCCCCCGGCATCTCCTGCAAAATCTGGAGAGACGCAAACCCCGCTGAGAGCCCCCCTCTGCCCCGCAGATCTTCTCGCTGGGGTACTGCCCCACGGGCGAGTGGCTGGCGGTGGGCATGGAGAGCAGCAACGTGGAAGTGCTGCACCACACCAAGCCCGACAAGTACCAGCTGCACCTCCACGAGAGCTGCGTCCTCTCCCTCAAGTTCGCCTACTGCGGTGAGTGGGGGCGGCGCGCGCTGCGCTCCCATGGGTACCCCGGGGAGCCCTGGGGTTGCGCACGAGGATTTGGTGCTGGGAGGGCTGAGCACGGAGGCTGCGGGCAGGATTTGTCCCGGGGAGGGTCCTGGTGGGGTTTTTGCCATGAAACAATCCTGCTGCTCCACCTGGTCGTGGTTCTGAGCCCCCAAAATCTGAGCCCCCACAACGTGGGGAGGGCGAGCCGCGGGCCGGCTGCGTGCGCAGGCGGTGGCGGTGCTGGGGTGGGTGTCCAAAAACTCCCCATTTCCCAATTTTTCCCACTTCCCAATTTTTCCCAAACCCTTTCCCGAGTGTGACCCGTTGGGGCTGGGAGAGGGGTGTCCACCCAGCTCTGGTGCCGGGGGGGGGGCAGCTTGGCTCCTGCTGACGCCGTCTGCTCCGGCCGCAGGGAAATGGTTCGTGAGCACGGGGAAGGACAACCTGCTCAACGCCTGGAGGACGCCCTACGGAGCGAGCATCTTCCAGGTGCGTGGCTGCTTTTTGGGGAGGGCACGGGGGGGTGGGCAGCTCCTGGACCATCCCAGGGGCTTTTAGGTTCAATGCCACCACGCTGACCCGATTCCTGTTTTTTTTTCCCCTCCTTCCAGTCCAAGGAATCCTCGTCTGTCTTAAGTTGCGACATTTCAGCGGATGACAAGTACATCGTAACGGGCTCTGGTGACAAGAAGGCCACGGTCTACGAGGTCATCTACTAACCACGGAGCGGAGCGGGGCTGGCGGCGCCGCGCGCGCCGTGCTGCAGCCGGGCGGTGGCAGGGCTCGGCGCACGGAGGCAGCGGCCGGGGGCTCGGCCACCGACGGGCGGCCCGGGATTACACACGGATTTATTTGGAGGTCTGCAAATATGGCACACATTGAAGCCCTAAACGACTTTTGGTTTTGGTTTTAGGGTTTTTTTTTTTCTTTTTTTTTTTTTTCCTTTTTTTTTTGGTTTCCTGGTTCTTTCCGTCTGCGCTTTGGTGGCACTATACAGGACTTATTTTTTATTGTGACTTTTTTTTTTTTTTTTTTTTTTTTTTTTGGTGCATCCTGCATAAGACTTGTGAAAAATGTAAATACCGGACTAGTAAATAGCATTTGGAAGGGTGGGGGACCCCTCCCGGTACACTAGGTGTGTATTTTTCGTCTGCTGTAATTGTATTCCACTGATGGTTTTGGTGGTGGCAATTTTTTTTTTTTTTTTTTTTTTCCTTCCCCCCCCCCCCTCCCCGCCCCAAAGCGTCCGTTTGGGACGCGACCTGGACATGCAGCGTGTAACCAGACTGAGCAAAGATGTCCACTGGTGAAAGTTGTTCCTACTGTCGTACACGTGCGTTGTTCGGTGTGTTAGTCGTGTTCGGACGCTGTACGGACTGCGGTGAAGTCGGTCGGATCCTCAGCTACTGACGGGACATCAGCAAAAACAATCACGTTTTTATATGGATTTTTGTGCTCGTATGTTTGAAGAAAAGGGGAAGCCCGCGAATCCGGGAATCATCTGCTCGAGCCCTTCTTGGTCTTCGGACATAAGCAATGAGGAGTGATTTCAAAGAAAGCATAGTAAATTCAGCTCAGGGAGCCACGAAAGATAATAGCAACTTATGTGTTTTGTATTCAAATGAAAGTAAAGAATTAGAATTGATAACCTTTAAAATACAGTTTTTTAAAGCAAAGTTTACTAACAAGTAGGGTTTGTGTGTGGTGGGGGGAAGGGGCTGGCTTTGGTAGGGTCCTGTGGCTATATGGTCTTGTGTCTTCTGGTATATAGGTTCCGATGAAGCAAAACCCATCCCCGCACAGGCCTGCATTTCAGCATTTTGTACTAAAGGGTAAAAAAAAAAAAAAAGAAAAAAAAAAAAAAAAAAAAAAGAAAAAAAAAGGAAAAAAAAAAAAGAAATAACGGGAAATAAAAGTATTTGTGTAGCAGAAGTGCTCACCCTGTATTGTAGCATATGGAAGAGAATTTTTATACTACGTTTTTAATGGATTATCTTCTAATTTTTTTGATTTTAACCTGGGCAAAGCCCACGTAGGGTCGAGGTGAGAGCTGCCCGCTGGGGACGGGCGGGCTGTGAGCTTCGGATGTGTGCCTCCAGCATCGCCTCCCTCCGGCCATCGCGGCCGCTTCGGGGGGAGAGGATTTGGGGTGGAAAGGAGATTTCCTGGAAAACGTGTCTTTTCCCCTTCAGGATGGCGTTTCTGAGATTTTTTGCCCTTTTCTTTTTCCAAACCGAGGGAGATGTCCCAGGCAGAGCGCGGCTCATTAGCGGCCGGAGGAGATGGGATTGGATTGCTCTTGTGCGCTAATTACCCGGCAAGGAACGGAGGAAAAAAAAGCTCTTTAAAACTGCATTTAAGGAAGGCGGCTCTGAGGGTGGTTTGGCTGAGAAAAAGGACTGGAAAAGCCTGGAAAATCCCGTTCCCACCAGCCCCCTGCGCTCCTGGGCTCGGTGATGCTGTGGGGCACCAGCGGGGACGGTCCCAGCGGGGGCAGCTGCGTCCCCCCAGCCCTGGTACAGCCTCTGGGATCATCCCCATGTCTGCAACATCAGGAAAAGGGTCGATGGCTCTGGAAAACCTGGCTGGCAGCTGCCCCCTGCCCTGAGGGCACCGCCGGCTCCCCCCCTGCCTGCTCGCCCCGTGCCATCGGCGCTTCGTTTCCCGCGCGAGCCCCCCGCCAGCGAGGAACTGCACGTGGTGGAGGGCGGCCGAGTCAGACTGCTCAACTTCACGCCAAAGGATGTAGCAGGATGTGTACAGCTGGGAACAACTACAATTATTACATTTTTTTTTGTAAAAAAAGAAAAAACGGGGGGAGAAAAAAAGTAAAAAAATAAATGTAACGAGGCTCAAATGAAGGGAAAATGTCCATAAACGATTTGACCTCTGGAAACCTGCACTGAGTTGATGTTAAATGTGAGCAAGCACAGTGAGAGGCTGTTCCTGCATGGGGGGGCTGGGGTGCAGAACCCCCCCCCCTTGCCAGGAGGGTCCTACCCCTCTCGGCATCCTCGGGGTGCTGCGGGATGCGACCACCCGTGGAAGTGGGCTGGGACCACGAACCGTGCTGCGTGGGAGCTGCTGGACTCCGGCCCTGCTGCTCGACTCCTCTCGTCCTGCTGCGGATGCTTTTGGTTGCCGCCGTGCCCCAAGGATGCTGCGTGGGGTTGCCGTGCCCCGCGGGGCTCTGCTGCCTCCTGCGTGGGCATCCCCACCTCCTTGGAGGGACATGAGGCTCCCCTGATCCAATCCTCGCTTTTTTCTTCTCAAAATGAGCCTGAAGCCATCACCTGCTGCTTTGTTTTTGCCTTCATGAGCCTGCAGCCTGATGGGGATTCTCCGTCGGTGACACCTGGGGACGATGCCACCGCTGCTGCGTGGGGCTGGGGGCTCCTCTGTGCTCCGAAATTGCCCGATGCCAACGTCCCGCATTCCTCTGCTGCCAGCCCGGGCGCCCCGGCAGCCGAAGCGCTTTCCTTGAGCAAGGACACACGCAGCGTCCTGCAGGGCTCTGCCCCGTGATGTATTGAACATGACAGAGCCTGCTGCGAGGGAGAAATAAAAAGCAGGAGCAGCACTCTAACTGCCCGGGCTTCCGATAATGTACGCCGCTAAATGGTGATGAGTGCATTTAAAGCTGATTTTAAGCTGGATGGAATGAGGGGCTGGCACAGGGGACCATTAAAAGATAAAAATTGCAAGAACTCCTTTGTCGGAAGGTTTTGGAGAGCCCGGCGCACGGCACTGGAAGGGTTTGCCCCGGCCTGGGGGCACCCGGTGCTGCCCCTTCGGGCGGCTCTCAGCAGTTCCCAGCAAACTGTTGCCCTTTGCAGTTAATTTGGTTTGACTGCAACCTTTCCAAAAGTGCTGACGGAGAAGGTGTTGAAGCCAGGCACAGTCTCTCCGATTTCCATTTACGTTATCAGCCAGGCGCCGGCTGTGTGGACTTTGAAGTTGAAGTATTCTGAGCCCTGCGCACTATTTTTTTTTTTCCCATTATTATACATTCTTAAGACCTTTTTTTTTTTGGCGTTTAATGCTTTCAGTGGCCGAGGCTGCTGTGACCCTGGTGCAAAACTCGGCTGTCGTGCTCCTGGATCCCATGGGCATCGTAGTGGGGCACCCGGAGCTGCCTGCGCCGTGCTGTGGGTGCGCTGCATCCATCCCCAGCCCGCAGCACCCGTTGGGTTGTGTTACCTGCTTTTCATTAAGGCATTTCCATTGCCTTCTGTGAGCACTGCAGCAGCTCTCTCACCCAAGGATGGGTTCCCACACCGGAGGCACGTGGGGTGTTTGGTCCCTCAGCTGCTGAGCCCAGCCGCTACCCTCTGGAGGTAGCCCACGCATCGCGCCCGCACCGCTCCTCCTCCCCAGCCCGGTTTTCTGGGGCGGCCAGCAGGTGAAATTACGCTTTGAGTAACCGCTAATTAGCAAATTACAGCGTTCGGGCCCAGGCGCTGGGGCAGAGGTCGTTAGCTTGCCTTGAAAAATATCATAAAGGAAATAAGCGGGGTGGGTGGCTGCTCACGCCGCCGCCCTATCGCACCCCCTGGCTCCAGGGTGCAGAGCCCGCTGGTGGTGACCCTTGTGCCACCCCATGGGAACGCTGTCCCCAAGGAGCTTTTTGGCCACGTGGCTTTTCCCATGCTGTGCCTCTGGTCCCTACAGGGCAGCGCCAGGCGTTGCTGTCGGTGTAGGGAAGCCGTGCGGTGACGAACTGTGCCAAACTGCGCCGTGCCACACCGTGCCCACCTTGGGCACCAAGAAGCCACCCTCAGGCTGGGCTCCCCAGGAGGGCAGCCACCCTCTCCGCCCCCCAGGTTATGGGGTGCCCCCTCCGTTCTCCCCACAACCACATCTGAAGCTCTGGGGACGAAGCGGGGTGCCCGTAGCGAGCACGCTTTGCGCCTGCAGCCGTCGGGTGCCGTGCGTTGCGCATGCGGTGCCGGGCAGGGCCGAGAGCCCCGTCCCCCCCCCCTGCACCCCCGTGCGCTGCTGCGGCACCTCGTGCCATCCCTCGGCGGCGGCTCTCCGAACAGATGGCAGGAGGAGGCTCTGGGACACCGTCAGCTGTTGTTATCGCTAGCTGATGACACGGAGTGTAAATTCTGTTGGCACTACTCCCTTCGTCTGTTCTGCCTCTGCATCCCACCAGTTTTAATTACTGTAATTGAGTTATAATGAATGATTGTGCATTACCATTGTCTGTAATGTGGCAGGGAGTATTCTGTTCGTTACACACTCCATCTAACAACATGCCCCTCCTCGTTGCTTTGTTTATCTGGTTGAAGGGTGTCATCACTTCAAATGGCACAGATAAAACACTGCTCAGAGTGGCTGCGTTTAGATGTTTATCGTTTTTCTGTTCTCAGGCACTGGTGCTTCACTGAATCCCGGTGGAAAACTGCAGAAACAGATAAAAACTAATTTGGCTTAATCCCTCTTTAAAAAAATAAATAAATAAAGGGGGAAAAAAAAAAAAAAAGCAAGCAAAGCACCACAACAAAAACCCTGCAGGGCTTTGGCCCACTGAAAAAGCCTTTGGCACGGGTTGGCACCAGGGGTGGGGGCTCCCCTGGGGGGCTTGCCAAGGGCTCGGCTGCCCTGTGCTGGCTGTGCCCAGGCACCCAGCCCCGTGCCCATGACCACCACCTCGATGGATTTTGGGGATGAAGCCACAATCAGTGGGCACAGGAGAAGCTCACAGGTTCAACACCAAGCACTGGAGCAGGGACCCTTTTAATCTTTGAGGCAGAGGCCAGGCTGATATCAATTTTTAAAGGCAGGGCTGTGTCCTGAGAGCGCCCATCGCGCTTTTTGGCCTCCCAGAGGATGAGAACTGGCTCGTGTGCACCTCGGGTGCTCCCAGGCTGCGGCTGGCTTCGGAGAAAAAGTGTTGTGTGAGCGCTTTTGTAAAAGACTTGGCCCCATCTGCACACTGTCAGTAAACGGCTGAGCTAAACAGCACGGTGTTATGAATAGTAGCATTTGGGAGTTTTAAACCCTTTTTTATTTCTTTTTTTTTTTTTTCTTTTTTTTTTTTCCCAAGGTAAATTCCAGCAGGATCAACACTGCACAGGAATTGCCCCGGAGGAAGCTGGCTGCTCACCAACTCGCCTTGTAAAAAAAAAAAGATTCATTATTACCGTTGAGCCGAGATGAAACAATTCTCTGGAATTAACTAGGCTAATTTTGACCAGCCGATGTTTTGCTACAATGAAAGTTTGGATTGTTACACATAAAAGCCGACCCCCCCAGCACCCTGTGGGGGGGGAGAAGATGGGCGAGATGATAACGCCGGCAGCGGGCAGGGTGCACGTGCACGCACGCACGCACCTGAAGGAGCCGTGTACCGGTGCCAAAATCCGTGCCAAAAACACCGTGTGGCACCTGGTGTGGTCACCCCAAAGGGCTGAGCTCGGCCACGCTGCCCCCACAGCACAGCACCACGGGGATGGGGGGCACGGGCACACCTGGGACGCTAACGAGGCTGATGAGGAGAACCGCTGCGCCCGGCTGCTAATTGGTATTTCGTGTGTGCAGGTCTGATAGCTTCTGCTGAGAGGTTAATTAATGGTTCATTTAGCCATGAGAGGCACTAAACGGGAGGGCACCGAAGGGCCTTGCTCACTTGGTGCTCACCTTTCCCCTCCCAGCAGGAGAACCCCGGACCCCCCAGCGTTGCTCACAGCGGGGACCAGGACCCCTGCTGCTGGTGGGGGTCCCCCCATCGCATCCCTTAGGGGCTCAGCCCCCTGTCCACACCTTGTGGGGTGGGCACAGCCCCAGAGCATCCCCAGGCATCCCCCGCTGTCATTCCCCAGGCAGCCCCCGCCGGGTCCAGGAGCTCTCGGCGAGGCACCCAAGCAGAGGACCCCGCAGTTTCCCCGTGCTTTATGGCAGCGCGGAGCAGCTGTGCTGTTCTCCAGGCATATTGAAGCGGTTTAATTACATTTTGACACTAAGAGCTGTTTTATTATCCC